AATTGTCTCTACTATCAGCTGAGTAAGATCACTTTGATTGGTTGTGTAAGAAGTGCCATTTTGGTTTTGCACTGGTTGCTTTTACGTCGCTTAAATATTTGCAAATAATTCACTTATCGCTGTAGTTATAATCGTTGGATCGTTCTGATGTTGTTTCGTCGTACTACATGCGCTATTGTTCAACCCTCAACCCTCAACATCAACATCAACAATCAAAATTAACATCAACATCAACAATCAACAATCAACGTCAAAATCAACAATGGCCCAACACCGTGTGTTTGTTTCCACAAACTCTAGTTTTTCTTTTTTTTCTTTTTGTTCCACCCCCAAATCCCATAGACTTTGTACACGTTTATTCACTGCGGCATTTTGGACCTAAAACAAACTCGTATTTTAATGAAACTTGTCCCATGTAAAGACCCCATAGTGACATTGTGTCCCGAAGAGTGACGTCACGATGACGTCATTGTGGGTCACGTGACATCATCTTAAATGTGCAAACTTTAAGACCCTATATCTAGAGAACCTTAAGTCCGATTGGGTTGAAACTCGGTGTGTAGGTAGACCGGGATGTGTTATAGATGCAAATTGAGGTGACGTCATCATTACGTCTTTGAGTGATTTTATATAGATTTTTGAATTTCTGGACCTTTAAGCCATATCTCACGAACCCAAGATGTTAAATTCAAAATTCTTTTTGCATTAGCTATGTTATGCAATAGGTGTGTACAAAATTTGGAATTTTTGTGTGACGTCATGATGACGTCATCAAAAATGCGCTTTTTTGAAACACATATAAGGAAATGTTCGATCGTCATGAAACTTAGTGGGTGGGTAGATAATAACACTAGTACTCAAAATCTTGAATGACGTCACGATGATGTCATCGGTAAATTTTTTGCAATATTTTTTTTTTTTTAATATTGCCAATTTTATTCTGCCTACAAAATTTTACACTTTTATTAAAATACAATAAAATAATGAGCACTGCCAAGTATTGTTACGATGACGTCATCATTAGACATGTGACGTCATCGTTAACTTGTATATTTTAAGCCCCTATATCTCATGAACAGTAAGTCAGATTGGGTTGAAACTTGGTATGGGGGTAGGCCAGGATGTGTTACAAATAAATATTGAGGTGACGTCATGATTGACGTCATCTTGTGATTATATATTTATATTATTTTTTTTTAAATTGTGAAGACTTTTGCCGTTTCTCACAAACGCATTGTTCCAAAATCAAAATTCTTTTTAAATTAGGTTTGTTAGACAAAAGGTAAATGCACACAGTTTTGCATGACCTTACTTTTAAAAAAACATAATGCGGAAAAGCCCTATGTTCTGTTGGAAACAGACATAGACCTCTAGTTTGTCTTGTTCTGTTTGAAATCGATCATTAGCTTCATGAATGACTGCTGCATGGTATGACGTATGGATTGTGGAATCTGGGTTGGGATAATAGAGGGAAAATGGACCGTTTTTGTTAAGCACTGGGATACCGTCCTGAATTTCGGGACTCTTACGATGTAGTTAAATTTTAGTTGTGCCTCGAAATATATGTAGTTCTTTTAGTTGAAACTAACTTGAGTTACTCAAGTTAGTTTCGTAGTAGTAGTCAATAAATCCGTTGGTGATGTTGTCTATGGGGCTCTGCTACGCGAAGCAGCCATAGGTCCATAGTTCGACTAGGAATACCCATTCATAGGTGTGTAATCAATTGCAAACAAAAATGCGGACTAGGCCTAACTAAATGGTCAATGAGTAGCCCCACTTGTGTGGCCTCAGTATTGCTGCGCTGTAGCACAGCAATACTGAGGTCACAAAAGTGGGCCTAGTCAATAAGGTGTTTCATGATAATATGCGCCATCTTATTCACGGGGCAAAAAGAACACGCGTTGCTAGACGCGGGCGCATTTTGGAATGACTGCATAATGACTTGGAAGCGCCAAAGTTTTCCACTGACGATGTGTACACAGCAACGCGTGTAAAATTGCCCTGCAGGCAAGATGGCACATATGACCGTGAAACACCTGATATTGCGGCAAAAATAATTGGGGCCAGTATTTGAAAAAAAAGCTGAATACGAAGTTACAACGATAGGCCTAATGTTGGCATGGAGCCAGACTAAAATTTGTCAAAGTACAAAAAAAACCAGCAATTTCCTGTTTAGTGCATATCTGGCAAGCTAACGTTTACTAAAGGTTTGCCTTAAAAAAAGGTGATTCGTAGAGTCCTAGGCCGACCGGTGCTCAGACTATTTCAAAATAATTTGGTAGTTTTCTTTTTTGATGGTTGCAATTGGGTCATTCCATGAAGTTGAGGAACAGGCCATAATTTTCTGAGGTCTGATTATAAAACAGTTGTTTTTTCTTTGTTATGGAATGGTTATTTCTATAACAAATGTCATTTGACAATAAGGCTATAAGCTTTTAAATGATACCATGCTCGATGATATTCAAAAATATTTTTCGTACCCAAATTCTGTAAATGTTATGTCGTCCGGCATAAAAAAATGTGAAAAAAGGGTGACAAAGAAACCTACAGTTCAAAAATAACTCATTTTGTAAAGAAAACAAGTGGACTGGAGTTGAGGTTTACACAAATTATAGTGAGAAGATGTACCCTTTTTATTGAAAAAATATATATCAGATTTTAAAATGTTTTGCCAAAATGGCATGCACAATTTAAAATGGATTGTGGATGTAACATATGGTGTCCCATGTTTCATATTATGTTACATCCACAACTGGCTTGTGTAAAGTTTTTTTTTTGCAGCAATTTAGGTCGGATTGACCCCAATATTTCATGATTGAACTGCTATTTGTAAAATAATGTGATTGTAGTCTATGCAAATAAATGTTTTGGCCAAATATGAAGAAAATCTTATGCCTGTGGGCACATGGTGTCCCGTGTTTTATAATACATCCACAACTGGTTGACATGGTCATGCCTAAAATAAGTATGAAAATCAGGACCTGTAATCTGCAATTGCCCTTGAAACAGAGATTTGGGGACTACATTTCTAAACACAAACAACAGTTTTTTTGGGGGGGGGTTGGAAATAACAATTTTAGCAGTCTTTAAAAGTATGTAGGCCTAAGTATGGATATTATTAAATAAAGCTTTTTGATGATAAATTCAAGTTTGGTGTGAATTTGAAGCGGTACATGATCATGTCATGAGTAATTATGGATAAGATCCCACATTCTCATTTACACAAAGCAGTGCCGGTTTTCCTTAAGTGGTCGAATACGCCCCCTTTTACCTAGCCTAGGGGGCCTATTATTTATGAAAAAACAAGGTTTGGATGTAACAGGACGTGGCGTCCGGTTATATCCACAACTTCTCCATAGTCATTACATGTAAATATATATTGTGTACAAATTTACCAACTTTCCAAAATCATGTGACTTAAATTTGAATGAATTGTTAAACCACAAATGTATGGGCTATCAAAAAATGCATAAACAAAACTTGTAGGCCTAGGCCTACAGTACAAGCAATTTGAAAATTTGACCCTGGGCACTATAAATTGTACATGTATCTCAACTTCGTGGAATGACCCATTGCAAATGTTGTAATTTCCCCATAGAACTATATTAAATTACTAGAGCGCTAACTCGACGTACAAAGTAGTGCCTGATGGGCGCATCCATGTTTGTGCACAAACCTATGGAAAACTCGAAATTTTGTACGGCTTTTGTACGGCTATTTGCATATCTGCGTTTGTATTCCATCATCGGTGCGTCATCAAAGCCGATACGCCCAAAACCGAAACACACGATCAGCAAATGAGTGTTTCATTTTGCTCTACGGCGCAAAAAGCGCAACGTGTGTGCGCGTCTCTCCGCTGCAGATGCGTCATGACGCGCTTAAGTTGTGTGCGTATCTTATAATTGCGCGTTGCATTTAGAGTACTGTACACTTTAAAATTCAATCCATCTATTTTGATTGTGTTCTACAAACACGCACAAGAACCGTACCCCCCACGGCGCGCTCCGAGCGAACCGAAAATCATCGCTGGATCATATGCATGCACGTTTCAAGTGTCAGGTTGGCTCAGTGCGGAAAGGGCATATTTTTAATCATTTTGGCCAAAAAAAATGACAAAATCCAGCGATGTTTGTTCTGCGCATATTACGTGAGTATGTCATGAGGTGTACAGTGGTGTAGTACGGAGTTTGGGGGCAAACTGTGCAGCGGTTCTGTGGGAAAATTTATGTCTGCATTTTGATGGACGTTTTTGTACTTAATTAGTGTTTTGTGCTGAAAACGATTTTGCGGGGTTCTTAATCTATGACTATCTGACTATGAGGCTCCACTACGTGTAGCCCCATAAATGTGGCCAGTTTACTGGACTTCCTCCGTAAACATAGGCCACACATCCACATGTACAAAAACGTGTCACACTTAGCCAAATCCAAATTTTGATTTTCACATTTTGGCTTAGTTTGTAGGGTTTTTTTGCTTTAGAAGCATACTCACCCTCTTTATAGGCTAATTAGAAAGTGCTGCCTTTTTCAGATGTCTAATTTTTGTGAAATTTTATGTTGAAATTTTGATACGCAAACGTGTGCAAATGAATCTGGAAATTTCACGAAAAATAGACACCTGAAAAAGGCAGCACTTTCTGATTATCCTATAAAGAGGGCGAGTATACTTCTAAAGCAAAAAAAACCTACAAACTAAGCCTAAATGTGAAAATCAAAATTTGGCAAAATGCGACACGTTTTTGTACATGTGGATGTGTGGCCTATGTTTACGGAGGCAGTCCAGTAAATAGGCCACATTTATGGGGCTACACTACGTGGAGCCTCAGTCTAGTACTATTTCTAGGAGTACGCGCAAGAATGAGGAGTTAGTGCTCTAGCAATTTAATATAGCTCTATGAATTTCCCTTTCACGATAGCCACTGGCACCGTGAAAAAAAAAGTCCTGATTACAACACAAGCCAAAGTCATAACAGTATGGGGCTGAAGAAAATAGTTTCTCACCGACGTTTCCGATTGCAACATCCATTTTCTGTCAGCAACCTTAACCCTTAATTGCAAGTTGCAACCAGCTCAATCAAAATCAGGGTGACCGTACAGGTCATGACTAAATTCTGCTAAATGCACTTCAAAAATCTGTCAGATTTATCAAAAATCTGCCAAATTCCCCAGAATTACTCGAGATACACTATAAACAATTTAAATCACATGTATATGTTCTAATATTGCCTTAATTAATGTTCAAATTACATTATAAACTATATATTGTCACATAAAGATAGGCCTACTGTATCAATCTTTCGTTCCGTGTTTTTATGTTGTTGTGTGGTTGTTGTTGTCTTGTCTTGTCTTAATTGTCTCGTCTTGTCTTGTCTTGTTTGTTTGTTTGTTTGTTTGTTTCGTCTTGTCTTGTCTCTTGTCTTGTCTCTTATCTTGACTTGTTTTGTTTCATTTTGTTTAGTCTTATCCTGTCTTGTTTTGTTTCTTTGTTTGTTGGGGTGTTGGGGTGTTTGTTTGTTTGTTTGTTTGTTTTTTTTTGTTAGTTTTGTTTTGGCTTGCTTGTCTGTAGTGTTTTTCCCCAGTCTTGTATAATCTGCAGTTTTTAGGTTTTTATGCCAGCTATTCTTGCCTTTGAGAAAACTGTTGTAACTGTTAATCTTTTAAATCTAATTATCGTTTTTAAGTATTATTTTTAAGGCGGTCTTATTTTTCATTGAATTTAATACCTAATTTTTAATATATTTTGTATGTTACATGTACCATTCAAGTTAGGATTGACAGGCTTTCGAGTCACAGTGTTTTATTATACTTTTGTCAATCCTGGCCAGCTTGGATTGGATTGTTTTTGTTTAGTTTTGTTTACTTTTGTGGATTGCTTGTTGTACCTTGTAATTTGGCCGAATAAATAATAATAATAATAATAATAATAATAAATTGCGCAAATTTCAGGCAAAACGTGGTTGGGTCACGGCGAAATCCGGTTCCCATGTGAACCTCAGCACTTAGACCAGGCAACCTGTCCTATTTTGCAAGGGTTCGGTTTGAAAAGACTGAAACTTTTGTAAAAACAAATGTACCATTTTTTTGCAAATTTGGTGTTTTTTCTGTCAAATAACCCTTTTTGCAGAAATCTGCTAGAAATCTGCCCAAAAAATCCATTCTGTCAAATTTTCGGTCAAACTCGTTTTTTAACAAAAAATCTGTCAAAGTTAGCCGAAAAGCGGCTAAAACGGTCACTATGATCAAAATGTGCAATGTGTTATTGGGAAGGGCGCCACCATGATCCTGGTGTGGAAATAGCTAGCTGGCAGTTTCGTTCGTACGAGCGAAGAGTTTCGCTCGTACCCCCCGCCCGCCCTGCAAACAGGACGCTGGGATACTCTGATGAATTCTCGCTCTGATTGGTTGGATTTTGCGCGACCTGTGACCTGCGCGTCATCACGGTCATGACGCTTCAAGGTTTGAAACGGCCGTTAAGACTGATTCATTACCCTTTTATTTCAGTTTAGAGGTGTTTTTTTTGGTTGAAAAAGCGTAATAATGTAGGAAATTCTTTAAAACTTATCTGTGTTGTAAATTTACAATTCCCGTCACTTGCTCAGGCTCCGTTTCGAATCACGAACGGTCGGATTGCGTTATGCGACGCTCAAAAGTTTGTCCACATGGGCCGCGCGCAATGAAACAGAAATCACATCCGGCATGGAATTCGCAATTTCTATGTGAAGATTTCGGATAGCATTTGCGCACATTGTCTAACTTAGCCTTGGTCAATGCTCTCGTCGTTATTCGTCCCGCACGCGGTCAATCGTCGGCATACATGTATATCCTCACGCGCTATGCACATGCATGTAAAAATACAGCGCGAACAGCGACCTCATGCGGCCACTATTTTATTTTGTTTATGCAAATCAGTTGGGGACGATCGAGAGCCTTGGTTCAATCGTCGGCAAAAGTTTATAAATGTTTTTCTTTATTTTGCGCTGGATTTCTAGCGCACGACCTCGTATGCGAATACAGATAAGTGTAGGCGGTGCTAATATGTGGAGTGTCCAATCACACCTTGGTAAATCCGGACGTCATCAAATTATTTGCAGCTATTCGCCTTTTGCGGACGTGACAGGAACCACAGTTTTTGTGCATTGGTGCCGAGTGCAGAGACACACAACGTGTATGGATTACGTACGGTGCCACGTTTCACTATGCAAGTTTCCACGCAACGATCGACCAATAAGAAAACGACATTTAAGGTCAGCTAAGGCTATTAACATAATGAGCAACACCTCCAAACCTCACATGGACGATTGAACCAAGGCTCTCGATCGTCCCCAACTGATTTGCATATAAAAATAATGGCCGCGTGAGGTCGCTGTTCGCGCTGTATTTTTATGTACATGCACGTGCATAGCGCGTGAGGATATATGCCGACAATTGACCGCGTACGGGACGAATAACGACGAGAGCATTGACCATGTCTAACTGCATGCGGTCTTGAACAGCTGCAGCCAGATGCTTTATACATAGGTAATAGGCCACTTCCTTCACAAGATTCTGTGAAGCTCATCAGAGTATCCCAGCGTCCTGTTTGCAGGGCGGGGGGTACGAGCGAAGCGAAGAGTTCGCCCCATACGTCTCCATATTGTTCGCTCGCGTACCTCACCGCCTGCGCTCGAAAGAAAGCAGGCGCGGCAGATGCGTCATGCGCGTTTACCAATCTGCCGTTAGCGGCGCCCTTCCCCAAGTGCTCGTCATTCACATGGTGACCGTTTTAGCCGATTTTCGGCTAACTTTGACAGATTTTTTTGTTAAACGAGTTTGACAGAAATTTGAGGGAATGAATTGTATTTGGCAGATTTTTAGCAGAATTCTGCATAAATAGTTGTTTGACAGAAACACAAATTTGAAAAAATATTGTACATTAAGCTTCAATCTTTTTAAAACAAGCCCATGCATAATGGGACAGGTTGGCTGGTCTAGGTGCTAAGGTTCACTGGGAACCTGACATAGTATAGTTGTGACATGTGTTCTTATTCCTCCATGTTGTGACGCAACTGTGTTTTGCATGAAATTTGCATAAAATTTCATAACATCTTTATGTTTGTTTATAATGTAATTTGAATCTTAATTAAGGCAAAACTACAAATCTGCATGTGATTTTAAGTGTTTAGAGTGTATTTTGAGCATGGAGGAATTCCTCCATGTTTTGAGTAATTCTGGGGAATTTGGCAGATTTTTGATAAATCTGACCGATTTTTGAAGCGCATTTAGCAGAAGTTGGCCATGACCTTACGGTCACCCTGTGTTTGTATAAATTGCACCGCCGTCCATTCATGCCATTTGTGCAAACTTACTTCTTTCGGCCCGATTCATTTTTTTTTTTCAGTGGACCGTCCAGCTAGGACAGGCTGGAGTAAAACGCGCACTGCCGTACAGTACTGACTCGTATAAACTTCAATAGGTTCAACCGCTGAATGTGTGGCTAGCTAATCTTAGCTTGTTTCTTACAAGTTGAGGATTGTATGTTGCAAATGCACTGACACATGACTGACATGACTGAAGTGTTACTGTAGAGTGTAGTGACTAGTGTTAGTGAGATCAGACTGGGACCTGGATAGTCTTGGCCGAAGACGTCAGTGATCAAGAAGCGTGCGTGGGGAAAATAGAGGTTGTCTTCTTTGGGTGAGAATATCTCTAAAAGTCAATTAGGCCTAGTCCTTGGGGCGAGGGCTTTTTTTCGCTCGCCACGCGGTCTGGTTCACCAAATTTTATAAAACTTCACATAGGCGTGTAGATTATCGTGTACCATATCGAAAAAACTTTCTTCTCCGATCCACAGTTTGTTTGAGGATGAGAAAATCTGGGATAAAATCGCCGACGATTCTACATGATAACAAAATGTAAAAACAGCGCCCTCTATTGACATAGTCAGAAACCTTGGTAATCCTTACTTTTAGGACACCTCTATTTTTTACAAGTTCTGTTCAAAACTGACTTTTGCAGATAACTGTGCAGTAGCAGTACCAAAGTGACTTTTGCAGGCTAAAGCAGTCTTTTTTGGCGAGCTGCGAAGCAGATGCGAGCCTATGTAATACCAATTTCCGTCCGTCTGTCCGGGCGTCCGTCCGTACGTCCGGACGGACAGACGGACGGACGTCCGGCCGTCCGCGTTCAGTTAAAAATGTTGAAGTTTTTGGTTCTAGTTAACATGGGGAAAAAAATAAATGCAGTTGTCATGTATCATCTCTATAACTTCAGTTAGGTTCATATCATTGCAGTAAATTTTAAGATTTTAGGCAGAGTAAAAAAAAAAAAAAGTTTCTCGTCCGGGTTTTTGAAAAATAGGAGGAAGAGGGGCTTTTTATTTTTTATTTCTTATTTTTTTCAAGATGGCCGCCATTTTAAAATTTCCTGCAACCGTTGGTGTTTCCACTGATCAAAGACACTTTTAAAATGAAAGACAAGTTGGACAAGAGAACTGAACATATCGTCACCGACACCACGAAGTAACACCCATCTACATACCAGTAAAAACTAGCAATCGGATAAAACGGCAACTAAAGTTGAACGCCTTCTAAAACAACACTTTGCGTCAAAACGACAGAGTATTTTCAGTTGGGTTTCTCGTTGTGGACACTTGATGAATTGAATTTATTAAATCTGCTGTTTTTCACCCGTTTGTGTATTAAATAAACAAGAAATAAGAGAAAAAAGATGAGTGTTAGTTCGTGAAACCGAAAAGGCTGCGAAACTGTAAATTTTCATTTTCACGAAGTAACACTCTTCAATGTATTCAACACGGGGAAAGTGCAACTTCAGGTCAGCGCGCGCGCACTCATACAACTTGTTACAAGAAGAGTGTTACTTCGTGAAAACATTTTTGCTCACTTATGAGCAGAGTGCGCGCCATGCATTTCAATGGTAAATGGAACTTGAGTGTTACTTCGTGAAAACAAAAATTGTCACTTTTACACAAAAGTTGCCATGGATACTTAGCGTAATTATTAAAGTAAAGCTCTGGAAGCTTTGAAACTTCGTGCAATGGTAGGCCTTGATGAATAATGTTTAAAAATAAAAAAAACTGAAAATCGAAAAAAATATGGTTAACTTTAACACGGTAGAGTGTTACTTCGTGGTGTCGGTGACGATATTTACAGTGTCCTTTAGAGTTGTATTGGTCTACCAAGAACAGTTTTAGATGCATTTGCTTTAACCACCAAAAGTCATGATTCATTTTGGATGAGTGATTTTACAGATAAAATCAAGCACCAAATGTCAACTCTCAAAACCTAAAAGAGTAAACGCCAAGCTATTAAGAATGTGGGTTTGGGGTTTTTTTTCTCATAAACATATGGAGATTGCTTGCAAATATTTGAGGCAATGTTTTTATTCTATATAATTGGTCAGTTTATTTTTGCAAGTCTATATTAATTCTACTACACAGACTTTACCTGCGAATGCAGCGAAAAGATCACCTAGTGTTGTCTTGCCATCAAGTACTGTCCGTGCATACCACGGTTTTATAACTTTAATTTTGGTTCATATGGAAACGCAAACGAAAACCATTGTGATGAAATCGAACAAAACAAAATTAAGATTCGGGCTTTAATTTCTTGTTGATGAATGCATGGAATGCACTGAGTGACTGCTACTATAGTACTACTAGCGCTAGTGACAGAAAACATCGGCCGCGCGAGCGAATTCTTTAAACACATGCTCCAGCGTGAGCTAGTCTCACACCGGTTGCATTCTGGCTTCGAAGTCAGCATTTACCGCATACAGTACGGCAGACAGATTCCGGTGGAATTTTCAAACGACTGTAGTCTAAAACTATCAATAGACATGTACGTAGTCTGGTTCCCTAGACGTGACAATTATTCCTGACGCTCACGTCTCAGCCTCGACTCTATGGGCGCGTAGATTCATCTGATAGTCAGAATCTTTTGGTCTGGGAACCAAGTGGGTGAGTTTTGTTGTGAACTCGCCATGCTCGCACTGTCACAGGGGTAGCGATCACACGTCGATATTATGTGGTGTACAAAGTGACCGACAGAGTCTATACTGAAAACTTCGACTCCCATATTTCGCAAGTATTTATTTTCCGATGAATTTGTGGACTTTTTCAGTGTTTTTACTGCATTTTTCAAAAATAAAAAATAATAAAAAAATCCAGGCGGCCTCCAAAAAGGAAGCGGGCGGGGACGAGAAACTTGTTTTTTTTTTTACTTTGCCTTATTGAGGAACTTTAATTCAAGGATATGTTAAAGTTTTTAATTGTTACATGTACATGTATACTGGTATAACATGTACGTGTGTGTATACCGGTATAACATGTACATGTACACTATGCATTTTGGGGATGTGCATGAGCTTCTGGTTTGTGGGGTTGGAGTAGGGATGGGGTAGGGGAGGGTGGGGTGGGGTGGGTTGGGGGATAGGGTTGGAGTTAGGGTTTGTGTGAGTAGGATGAGTAGGGGAGCTAGGATGGGTGGGGCGGGGTGGGTTGAGGTGGGGTGGGGTGGGGAGAGGGGTTGGAATACTGGGTTTGGGTGGGGTGGGGATTTGTAGGGGTGGGGTGGGAACAGGTAGGGAGAGACAGGTAGGGGGAGACAGGTAGGGAGAGGATGGGCATGGATGTAGGGGTTGGGTTAGGAGGAGGTTGGGCAGGGGGCGGGATATAGGATCGGAGTAGGGGTTGGGTTGGGGATGGGTAGGGATGGGTTGTAGTAGGGGTTGGATAAGGGGAGGGGGCAGTATATAGGGATCAGAGTAGGGTTGCATGGGGTCAGGTGGGGATGTATGGGTGGGGGAATGGGGTGGGCGGGATATTGGAATTCGAGTAAGGGTTAGGATGGGGATGTGTAGGGTGGGTAAGGACAGATAAGGGAAGATAGGGTAGGTGGGTGTAGGGGTTGGGGTAGGGGAGGGTACGGGTCAGGGGAGGGGGAAGGAGATAGGGATTGGAGTTTGGGTGGGGTTGGGATGTGTAGGTGATAGGGTGGGGATGGTTAGGGGAGGATGGAATGGGTGTGGGTTGGGGGTTGGGTGGGGATGGTTAGGGGAGGATGGAATGGGTGTGGGTTGGGGGTTGGGTGGGGGAGGAGGTAAGGTTTTGGGATGGGGTAAGGTTTGGGGGAGGTGGTGATGGTGCTGTGTCTACATGTACATGTATACCCATTCTTGTTCTGCATTTGTGGCGACTACACAAGAGTTTTCCCATGGTAATACAAGTATGGGGACCAGAAGACACTGTTGGGGCTGCAAAAATCCACAACTGGGTCCTAATTACCCTAACAATGGAAAACTCCCCCATAATACAGTGACGGCTAACCTATATACACATGTATTTATTAGGTAATCTGTTGACTTTTTATGTTGACATTTAAAAACTGACCCCTACACATAGGCACATCAACAAGAATCCTGATCCCCTTCCATCATGCCCATCCCCAACCCTACCTTCAGCCTCCCTTCCTGCCTTGGACAGCGAGCCATGGCGGCTTCGCCGTTCTAGTTTCTTCATATAATTATAAACTCATGATAGTTGTAGTTTTGAAAGCACTTTCGAAGAAAATGTGACTTTCCTATCTTTTTGCGCAGTCAGACGTGCATGTTGTAGTTCTCACACGCGTGAAAGCCCTACATAATGAAAGCCCGATGCTGATTGGCTGCTAAAAAATTAATTAGTCTGGTTCCCAGACCAAAAGATTCTGACTACTCCTGAATCTTTTGGTCTGGGAACCAGACTAAAAATAAATAAGTTAGTCTGGTTCTCAGACCAAAAGATTCTGACTATTCCTGAATCTTTTGGTCTGGGAGCGTAATTTTTTTTCCTAGGAGGGTTAGGGGCAATGTCATGAATAATTCAGTTTTTCCTTTGAATCATTGCAAGACTTAGGTTCTCGTTCTATTTTCCCCTTAATTTAAAATTATCTCAGTGATAAATTTGGAGAAGAAAAATAGCTGATGAAAATGAGCAGCGACGACGTGGATTCGAACCAGGGATCTTTGTACCCATAGCTCATCTCGCTATCCACTAGGCTACTGTGTGATAGCTCGACGACAACCGTTCTTTAAAATGCTTTAATGTATTGTAACTAGTTGAGTAACTAACAACAATGCTGTTGATGTCATTGTCCGTTCTCATGGATAAACATGAATTATTCATGACATTGCCCCTAACCCTCCTAGGAATAAAAATTACGCGGTCTGGGAACCAGACTAAAAATAAATAAGATGGTTTTTTTTATCAGCCAATCAGCATCGAGCTTTCATCGCATCAAGCTTTCACGTTTGCCATCTTGGATTTTGAGTCTGTTTTCTGGTTGTCATCGTCGTCTTTTACCCCTGAATTTCCCTCATAAATCAAAGCCCTGCCCTCTTTCCACAAAATTAAACCTGCTGATATTCAAGAAGGTGTCATTGCCAATTGTTCAGATGTGCCAAGAAGTATCAGAATGTCAATTTTGAGTGTCATTTAGTCAACTGTTTTGGTGAGTCTTTCCCTTCCTATATAGGAACAGGGTCCTAAAAGTAAGGATTACCGAAACCTTTTCTCACACAACGGCTGTCCGGTTCGGGCGGTCTGTTCTTGGCGTGACGCGGGTAT